AATCAGATTTTGTAGAACTTGAAAAGCCTTTACATAATTTTATTCCTCATATTAGATTTTTCCAAATGTCATATGATGAAATTTATTTAATTGTTACTCGATATAAAAAACTTCTGCCTGATAATCTTCTCGATAAACTTTATTAATATTTTTTAAGATATCCATCTAATGCTTTATCAAAAAGAGAATCAGTGTATCCTTTTAATTCTAAAATTATTAGTGCTAAGGATGCAGCATTAATAGCAAATTGGATTGATAAAGAACAAAAAGGGCACTATCGTTTTAAAGATATACCTTTCAAATTTGATCTAATTTATCTTGCAAGCCTTGAAGATTTTAGCATTAATAAGTTCCATAGCAAATGCGATAATAAAGAACCAACAGTTGTTATAATTAAAGTTCGAAACTCAGGAGAAATCATTGGTGGATATAATCCATTAAATTGGCGCAGTACAGAATTAATGAAAAATAGAAATTTACCATCTAACGTCTACAATGATTATAAATGCGAAACATCAAGAAGTTTTATATTTTCATTATTTTCATTATCAAATAGAACAATTCCCAAATTAAGTCATGTCACTTCTAAACAAGAAGCAATTATTTGGTCTATAGATAAAGGACCATGTTTTGGTTTACAAGATTTGTGGATATTGTATGATCATTCGCAGAATGTTGCTACTGGTAGATGTAAAAAACACTCTTATAATGTAGGAATTATTGATAAAGATACTTTTGAAATTGAGGAATATGAAATATTTCAAATTAAAGACAAACAATTCTTACTTAAAATATTTAATCCTATTGTGAAAATATGGAAAAGATTTTGGTATTCTAATTTTAAATTAATATTACTCGGTATTTTTCAATTTTCATCCTTTCTGATGCCAATGATATTTGCATTTGTTAATGTTGATGTTTGAGTGAAAGTTCTTGTGACGATATTTTCTTTTATTATTAATTCATTCTATGCAATTTTGTTAGCACCAGGTGCTTATGTAGAAAATTGGTTTTTTATCCTTCCAGAAATTTTTATATTGTCTTTTCTGGCATTTGAGATATTTGTATTGATTAGTGGCAGTGCTCTAGCAAAAATTCTTTTGGCAATATCTTCTGCAGGTCTTGCAGTTATATTAATATTAGCATTAATATTGGCATTAATGTTTATTGTAGAATTTCGATGTAGTGGCTATTGATTTTTAGTAACTTGTAACTATTTTGCTAAATAAAAAATTTAGGGTAGTATAGTATGTAATATAAATTTATCTATATAATATTCTGATAGAACGTGCATTTAAAAAAGTTTAAATTGTATTTAGTTGTATATTGAATATAAGCTGCATAATATATATGCTCAAATCATAAAAAATATTACAAACTTGTAAAACATGGTACTAAAATGGATGGAGAATATTAGTTACTTAGCAGAAGCTAACAAAGTTTATATAAAGAGATGTAATATTCTACTCAGCTGTTTTATAGAAGAAATAGTTTATTATAAACTAATACTAATACATCAACAGGTGTGATTAGTATTGTTAGACAAAATTTAGAGGTTTAGTCAAAACGTATTATTAAAATGGCAAAATGGCAAAACTGGTAAAACTGCTAGAAGGTAAAAAGCTGAAAAAACTTAATAAAATCAGTAAAAAATAAAAAAAAAATCTTGTAAAGAAACAAGAATAAAAAATTAATTAAAAAATTTAAAATCTTTTTATCTAATAATCAATCTTTTTATTAATATTAGTATCTAGATAACCTATTTATAGATGCCCTAATTTGGATTTTAAAATAGATATAATTACTACTTTTAGTATAGACTTTTACTGAATACTGGTCAAAATCCTTTCTAGCAATAATGCTTTAAGGATAAATTAGTTTTAAAAAAATAAGAAAAGCATCTGGAATCTCAACTTGACAAGCACAATTCTAGCAAGTTATATATAATTCCAACAATAAAACCCTGACAGTCAAAATTTCAACAATTAAAATCTTAACATTTAGAATTTTTAAGTAGAAAATCTCTGAATATAGGGTATGTTTAAAGTGAATTAGCCTCTTATAATTTAATTAACTTTAGGGTTATATCACTTTAGATATGAATTAGGCTAAAGTTAGCTTATTTTCATCAAAATTTTTAATTGTGAAATTTTAACTGTCAGTTTTTTGACTGTCAGAATTATGACCTGTTAGGATTTTTCTTGTTAGAATTTTGACCCATAGCTCATTTATCTACCTAATATTTAATTTTAATCTAACACAAATTTATTTTATTATATATATATGAATAATCATGCTGTATATAATATTTTTTAATTAATAATCTAAATTTTCTATATTTGAGCTAGGTGCTGAAAAAAGAGCCAAAAATAACAATTTTTAAAAGAAATTTTTTTATATCAGATTAGGATCATTTTCACTTAATATACAAAAGTAGTTGTATTAATAAAATCTTGTAGTATAGCTCTTTAAAGTCCCTTTCTCAGCACATAATTCATTTGATACAACAATTATTTTCTTAAAGTCAGCTCTGAAATTTAGAATAGAGTATCAGAAAATAATTGTTAATAATAATAATGTTAACAAATTACTTCATATATATAATATTTAATTAAAATTTTAACAAAATGTTAAAAAATAAATCTTAACATTATAATAATAAATTTATTTATTTATTTTTTTTTTGTATTAAGATGACCCCTTGGTCATATGTGTTTTATTACTTTTTTTTTTTTTTTTAATCTTCAAAGGTGAGGCCATGCCTCTATCTTTATTAAAATCCAAATAAACTTCTTTACAAATAAAGATAAAGAAATTACATTATTTGAACTTTATATCTATAAGATACTAAGACTAGAGACT